TACACTCTTCATGTTTAGCACGCTGTGAGTCACTCATACAAGTAGATCACTTCCCGTTATTTGTTCTTCGGACACTGAGATGGATTGTGTCCCTTTGTTAAAATATCAGTCGTTGGCTCCACAGTGTGTCACTTATCCTTCCCCGTCCAAACCTAACTTCGCTCTCTGTTCTGTAAAAAATTTGCAGTTACATTAACCTGTTGGACTAAAAATAGATGATGAACCACCTCCTGAACCGGATCGTAGCCCCCTTCTCGTCCCAGTTTAGCCATGTCCGTAGGCGAGGACACGCGCCATCCCGTATCGGGCAAAATAAGAGAAACTTCCTTCGCTTCATTCGAACTGTGTGCTTTCCAGAAGAGGTTAAATTGTCCTATGAAAATAAAGTTCTGGCAGCGATTAAGTGGGGCATGTAGGCGAAAGAAGTAAACTCTCCTCAAAGTCACGCACTTCGAAAAAACTGACAGTGTTAATATTTCGGAAAACAAGGTCGATTGGGTAATTGTTCCGGCGACTTAGCGAAAGAAATAGACACCACTATTTCAGGCAGCGCCAAGCATTCAGAATCTTCGGAATATCTGTTACCCAAATATTTCAAGTGAGTTTTCTGTAACGATGACAGATAAATTGGACATTGTAAGATCGTTAAGCACGCTCTACGTGGTAACGATGTTGAGGTTATATGGAAGAAAGAAAATAAAGTATTAGATAATAGTCCGCAAAAAGTGTGGATTAGCTACATGCGGTGACTATATATAAATCTCGTATGGAGCTGATTGGAAAATATCCCTTCATCACCCTTCTTTGGCCAAACACAAATTGTAATGAGTAATACCAGCATTAAATGGTCGTTCATTACGGACTTTAATACTAATCAGAAGACGCAAATTTCTAAATAACCAGAGAATTATATATGATGTTCTAAACACGAGTACAGTTAAGCAAAGTAACAGCGGGGTGAAGAGCGCCACCAGCGCGCAAATCAATGAGTAGTACTGTGCCTGCTGGCCCATGATTCAAGTCCGGGTCAGGGTCAAGCGGGGTGAAGGGGGTCATAGCCCCTCCCAGAGGCGTTCGTTTTTTATTTGTTAGCAGAACTCATTAATAACACTCCAAGTTTCTTCAGTGCAGATGGCGTGGTATGCTCCTTCCGTTGATCAAGCTGTAGAAACAGTCGTACGCGCAAACTACTCCGTCATTGGTTTTCAGGGATTGGGATGGACTGAGTCACCTGTCGCAACGCTAGCGGTTGATTCCGTCTACTCCAGTTCATACGGCCATGCCAACGTCTATACCTTCAGCCGACAGCCCTGGCGACCTCCATCCACAAAAAAACTATAGGAAGCATCTTGCGCGTGTGATTTTTTCTACAGTGTTCTCTATGCACTAGACGTACTCAAACTAGGTTTACCTGGAAGTGGCCTATGACTCCTACCTTAGGACGAGGTGAAATGCTATCATGGAAGTCTTTTCGGAGACAAATTATTTATGTTGGCCTTGCGACGGAATGTTGAGACTGTGTCACGTGTGGACGCTACTAACTAGATCTCCAAGGTCGGTAAACACAGGCTTTGGCTAATCTTTGGCTAAATTTACCTGTTTTCTCTGCACTTCAACTTTCACTTTTTCGACTCCAGATATTATGTGCATTTGGATTAATCTCTCTCCTCAAAATAGGTTGTCCCTCCGTTAGCGCAACTCAGTATGCAACTATGTAAACGTTCTATCGCCGGAGATATAAAAGTTGTTATTGTTCGCATTATTCCTGAAGAAATTACTTTTGCTTTCGAACTGATCCCCGTAGAATGTAAAGGTTGATCATAAATGCTCTGCTTTCACAGTTTGAAGGTGACGCGCTGGTTGATAGAATGAGAATTTTGGCGTCCCCGAGCATAAGGCTCAGCCGGTTTAGAAAACATGCCTTCATTCAGCATAATCACGAGTCAGGCCTTGGCTGACCTGTGAGCTTCTTTTTCGCCTTTCTTACGCATGCTTCAGTGTGCACGTATTGGCCGGTGCACTCTTGTGAGCCTAATCTGGGTTCCCAAAATAGTTGTCCGACTCTTTATTGGCCGCCCAAGCATGCTCTTGGGACGTGCCTCCGTGGGAGCTTCTAGGTGTGATGGTGATGCTTCCCAATCAGGTTACTGTGTTGTCTATTTCCACGTAAGGATGTATGTCGATCTCACGAGCGGGCGCTATTCGTAACACGAATGCGTGGCAATAAGACCGGCGAGCCATTAATAAAAGCATCAGGATAAGCCTGTCGTAGTCGTCTTGACTGCATGCACCATCTGCTTCTATTCGGTCACCCTATGAGCCTTTTCGGTCACCTGCAACTCCTTGGCAATCAGCAATTAAACATCAAAGTCCAAACCCCATAAACGCACCATATACCAGCAGCCTGTACACTAACAGAGCACAAAGAAACCCGCCCAACTCATCCGCCAAATATGCAGAACAGGTACCTCCCACGTTAATAGAACGCATGCTGTCTGCTATATACTGGGACTTTATTTGGTCACTAAGTCATATTTAAAACATGCGGAAGGACTATCATAATTCTGTCAGCCACTGCACTGCACTGCAATACTAGCCGCTTGAAAGCCTCTTCTTTTTCATACGTGCATTGGAGATGTATGTGGGATTTACGTCGCTACTGAAGAACACTTCCCATAGCATATCAGCAGACTGCAACAGAATGGATTGGACGCACTTGAATCTAAAAGATGTGCATTCTAAGGCCTTAACTAACTATGTAGCCCGGTCTGCTTAATCTCTAGTGTGTTAAGGACTGAGAGTCAAAATCAGTGACTATTTTCACGTGGCTTCGGTGATATTCTCACGAAAGTGACATCTGAGTCTACGCCCCTTTCTGCGAAAACACAGTAGTTTTTGCATTGACAATGTCTTGTGTGGCTCCAGAAAACGGTATGTTTAGCTTTGTCAGTCTCTACGACCGAGTTCGCACCCAGTCCTAACGACTTTGTCTGATCAGACAAAATAGGAAAGAAATCGTGCAGTAACTGCCATCCAAGTCTGGTTCAGTTGCCCTTTTGTTGATACTATGCTATGGGCCACACAATTGGCATCGTTGTTAGGACGGTCAAACTGTCAAACATGCAATGGACTTTCTGTGAGCTGAAGGCGAGATCTCGCTAAAATGACAAATCGGTCCACCAAATATGTTCATCTGTGAAAACCTAAAAATGATTTTTGATGCTGCAGAGTAAGTCATAAATATACAGCGGCAAGCCCGGTGGCCTTGTGGGAAGCCTCAGAAGACACACGTCACACACACGCAAGCCGAAGATAAAATTAGTTAGAAAACACTAGACACATATTATAAAATTTTCAACAGAGAAGTCGGCATTGATTTTGCAAATGATTTCTTTCTAGGATTGCAAAAACTCCCATGAGAGTATTCAGAGAACCAATTGGAGAGCAAAAGTTTGCGTTCGATAAGCCCTCTTTACACAGCAAATCTCCGCCCACGTCCGCTCTCACCCGTCCCTTGCATTGACTGTTATTACCTCCAACCTCCGATCCCCCACATTCCCACACCCCGCGTCTGCTTTAAGACGAACTTTAATTGACTTCTCTTACAAAGACATGTTTTTGCTTTCACACCTGTACCGTCCTGACGAGAATTTCACGACTGCAAACGTCCGCTCGCTAACTGGTCTTCCAAATTCGTTTTTTTAATTTGTACCTCGAAAACAAACACCAGTGGCCTCATGACCCATGGTGTCCCTTGGCCCTTGGTTGGCCTCCGACTGTAGGCATAAGCCTAGCGACAGATACTCCATTTTTAGCAAAAGCAGAAGAAAGCATGTGAATAGAACTACAATTAACGATGTTCCCTGGGACTAAGCGCGTAAGGTTCGTTTTACTGAGCGTCGGACAATAAACTTCAAGCTATGCTGAGTCCCGCAATGGTAAAGCAAAGGCCACAACATGAACTCGATCTTTTTGGCAATAATTAGCTTTATAATAATCTTGATAGTCCCGACAAAGCAGTAACTATAGTTAATTCATATAGTTGTAAATAGGACAAAGAGAAATAATTTGACCAAGTGACCGGTAGAATATCAAGTTTATGCAGATACACAGAGACAACGACCCTTGTAACGATTGTTACAGGTTGGCATGCTCCTATAGCGCGACGGGTCAAAAAGCACGGAGGTTCAAACATAGGGAGTGACAATGTGACGACTTTTATTAAAGGCGAACCGGTGTCATCAAGGAAAACTTCTTACGGTAAAGCCTACTGTTGGTAGCGTCCTGCTAACGTACACAGTTTAATTGTCCCAGCAATCTAACGGTGCAGCTCATTCTTCGAACAGTGCGGCCCGGCTATCCGCTTAGTGCCGAAATGACAAAATAAGCAGTAGGAGTCATTCAGCGTCTTTTAAAAACGTCTAAAGTGTCTTCTGGAACAATTGACATATTAGGATACAAATCGTTACACGGACACAATTTTATAAAGGATCGCAAATTGCTTCTAAGAGCGCATGCTCATCAAGAGAGAGTTATATAGCTCCTACGACGAACTTCCGAGTGGTTTTTGCTACTCACACCCTAAGGGCCTTTTATTTTGTCTAACTTACGCACTTCGTAAAAAGGCATACCAAATATTCAGACCTCGGCTTCCTCCGACGTGGATGGTTAGGACTGGTAAACTTATCTGATTTCCAACCTTGACAAACACACTTTATTTCCCGTAGCACTTTTGATTTTTACCTCGCTTGTGCCCGAGATGGCCGTAGTAGTTCGACCACATATGGGCGTCCTTACGTCAGTTGCGTCTTTCACGGCCGCCTTCGGCGTAGGAAAATTATTGAACAAAATTCTTTTTCCCAGGAGACTGCATAATAAAGAGCCCGAGTTCGTTTGGAAATACATCAACATACACATTTCTTTTATTCACGCATTTATTGTCGGACTGTGGGACTTATCCTGGTAGTTTAATTTCTGCCTCTACGCTACGAAGCTTTATTATGTACCCTGAGCTAGTACAGGACCCCACAGTTCATATTACCCCGTACACATATTACCTTGTGTGCGTCTCTACTGGTAACTAATTTTACTTAGGTTCACTGTATTTTTCTTGTTATTCCAGGTTATTTTATTTACGACGCTTTCGACATTTGCTGGAATCGGAGATTTGTGAAGGAAGTTGAAGTAATGTTACATCACTTTGCAGTAAGTTACTATTATCGGAGTAAAGGCCTCAAGTTTCCCTAGATTATGGTCTGATTCATATTTTGCGACATCTCGTGCAGGTCTTGCAAGTTTTCCATTATTTTTAACCTCTAGGAAAGTGCCGTTTCTAAATTTTTATACATATATCTGCTTACCACGATAAAATTACATAAAGGGATTTTAAAACTTGTAGGTTGTGTCTGCATTTATGCACAACGTCCTCACAATGAAATGCATCGGATACAGTGTAATTGCACTATTGGTTGAAGTCAACACGATATTCCTTCATCTGCGCAAGTTGATGCAGCTCAACAGGGTTCCTTTCACTGGCTCTGTTTACAGACTTGTGTGTGCTATTAACTTGATAACGTTTGCTATCTTTCGGGGAACCCCTCTTGTATGGATTACCTGGGCCATTTATTCCGAGCCAGAGAAAATAACGAAAACGTTCTTCTACATCTTATGTTTAAGTATGTTCATCATGAACATCATTAACCCAATCTTCTTCTGGATACTCCTCCGCAGAGACTTTCTACGGCATGTTACATTGAAACTTCGCCCATCTAACCCAGAGACACTGAATTCAAATAATTTATCTTTAATGGATTAATATACGAGTGTTTTTATACGCCATAATTGAATTTCGGCCTTCTTATCTGTCGATGGTACTTGGAGAGAATGGTACAAATGCCTATAAGTTTACGCTTTTATTAGCGTTTTTGTGGTGTTGATCGTAATTTGGGGACTCTATTTATAATTAATTTTTGAGTCGTTAGTCGCGTAACGAATAATATTTTTAGTCTGTGCGTTAACGCGCAGACTAAGAAAAACTTAACGGCATCGAACGAGCATCATGAGGCATAGGTTGAAATTCTTCAACATGGCCCTGATTGCTGCTGATTAATCCGCAGCACAAGCCCAAATTTTTACTTATATGTTAGGGCGGCGGCCTTTTCATGGACATCTCACTTACCTGCAAAAACTATACTTTCTGAAATACTACTTCAACAGAACAACTTTCCTACTGACTTTTGATGTTTGGCTGATTTTAATACCACCTTATCAAAAACACGCAGGAATAATATACTATATTGGTTTTTTTTAAAAAAATAACGTTTTAGATAAGGGTTGTGTCTGGTTTAACAATTACCTGGCTCTAAACCTGCGGTTATGCTGCGTTAACTTGCGATATCTATGTTCTTTTTTACTGTTTCGGGAAAATTACTGTCGCATGTCATTTAGAAGAGACCAGTTGTTACTTATAGACTACTACAATGGATATAAACTAATGTTTTTATTAATGAGTGCATTCATTTTAACCTTTTTCGAGAATCGCATTGTTCCCTCAGAGGTTTTAATAAGTATAATTGTTCAAAAATCTACAGTTGTCCTTCTTTCGGATACTAGTCAACGCCCAGTAGTATTTTCTGCGACGATTTTTTAACTTGCCACCTCAGCGTTTGGCTCAACTTTGTGCGCTCCATTATAGTCGTTGGCCTGTCTTTATAACATGCGTCTGGGTGATTACCATGTCGTGTTGTCATGTGAATCCAAGGAAACCCTTATATAATCTGAAAAAGTTCATTAGGCATACACTAACGTTGCATAATTCTCAGCGTGTGGTTTGCAGACTTTTCCAGCCATTACAAACAGCAGCAATAGGAATTGCCCCCCGTACATGCTGGCTTCGTCGGGTTTACATTTCGCTTCGTTCTGAGGAAGTGCTGAATGAAAATCAATAATGCATGTTTTCCAAAAACGAACTTGTTTTACTCCTTAGCAAGTCGATTTATACCTCGTTCTTTAGGTTATCTAGTACTCTGTCTTACAGAACCAACTGTTTGCAATCAACCCCTGTATATGCAGCCCGTTTACTTGTAAAGTAGGTGTTCGTCCTCCTTAGGCATTTAACTTGTAACCCCGCCTAAGAAAGCATATTTATTTAGTTAATTAGCTCTAGGTCCATACGTCTCTGTGCGGTGCGATAGGTGATTGGTTAGGGGTAGGCATGGCCGATAACCATTCGCTTTTCGTCTATACTGGGTAACGTGCGGGCGCACTGCTTCTCCTCTAGTACTGGCCTAAACACTACCAGTCAGTCCGTCTACAAACATGAAGACGTGACGTTGATTGTTGGTGACTGTAGCATTTTCAAGGCAGACAAATTCAATTTCGAAGGGAAATTCTGGTTGACGCCCTGAAACGCAGCATTGTAAAGCAAAACGTAGATGTATGCAAAGAAATGTCTTCTGAACAAAGTCAACATGTAATATTTGTGTCACAGATGACGCGATAACGACACCAAGCATGCATTAGCAACGCCTCTGCCGCCGTGTGTGTCATCTGCAATTTAGAGTCTTTCCTTTAAAAAAATAACAATAAGGCAGAGATTGGCTATAATAAACATTTTAGTTTACAGCAATACGTTCTTGCACAGTTGCGGATTTGGTAGATACGTGCCAGTTTTTACTTTCTACCTGTAATGCACAGGACGACTCATGACAGCGTACATGTTCACCCGTTTGACAGTTGTGGCAACAACGTCCATCGCGCGCCCCAGAGAGTGGACGCAACACCAGAGACTTCCAAGTGTTTCAAGTGACAGGAAAGCAGACTTCCGTGTCGTTTGCAGCGAATCCCCTTTGGTCACCGACTATGCTCAAACGACAGTAAAATGTCAAGACGACCGGCTGTAGACTCAAGCGACAAAGCCAAACGGTCCATTTACGCGTGCCATGCATACGATTTGACGTTCACTACAGGCACCAGGCTTCTTTAGAAACGAGAGTTCTTAACGACTACATTGAGAAGGAGGCATTGCATCCCGACGCTCGGTCCTCCTATTTGGCAGTCTTCCAAGCCGCGACTCTTGGCAATTCGTGATACAATAGCGCGCGTTCGATTTAATTTATTAAGAGATACGTCTATTTCCGTGACGTTTCTTCATATGGCAAAGGGAGTCGTTTGTGAGTTTAAGTTTTCTTGGCATTGGCTCCATGGGGTTAGAGAAGAGCCTGTAAGACAAGCCTCGAGTGTCTTAGGCTTGCCTTAAACTGCTTTGAAGAGCAATGTAATACAGTGACCATTGTTGCCGTCTGTGTACACCCTATGGAAACAGGGGCTGACTTGTTTAATATGGATTACATCGGAAATAACAATATACAGAAATATCAAAACAATCGTAAAACAAAAGAAGTTTGTTGGACTCTTTGCGAGAATGTGTGTGGCAGACTAGAATCCGAATCAAAAAACGATTACTGCTGCGGCTGGCCATTTTCAAATTTATATTCTGCCCATGTATAGCAAATTCATTGAATTCCAACGAGAAACACGCAAGAAATGCATGTTTATCCTGTAACCCGATTCGCAAACATCAGAACTATGCCTCATTTTTGGGCGAACTCATACACAAAAAGACGGACGTTTCTGAATTACTAGCCGTCCTCAGCATTGTCAACCTGACCCAATGTTTCAGCACATTTAATGGGTCATTGGGCATTCTAGACCCAGCTCTCTAATCATTTTTGCCAATAGATCCGCCCTCTGCTGTCTGAGATCAGATGATGATCCACATAACTAAAAATATTTGATGATCCACTGAATCCTACTTCAAATCTCCAGTACGTCGGCAACTAAGATTAGCGTGCAACTGGTCAATGACGGCTGACTAAGCAGTGGCGGGAGGCTAGACCGTCGTCGACGAGGGTGTTCACCGCGTGTTCCACGGAATGGACACAGTACCAGTGAGCCGCGCATGAACCAGTTCATCAGTCGTGCTCTCCTCCACGACCCATTGTAATGCGACGACCAGATAATGTTAAGATGACTGTGGGCCTAGTTGCTGACAGTATAAAACAGCCACATTCTGTGACCGACCTCATGAAATGTTAATCGAAATTATGCAATGTGTTTTCGAGTAAGAAGGATTGCGTAAGTTGATTTGTGGCATTGCCTTGTGACATAATCCCGTGCTATTTCAGACACGCTGGAATGTTAACTTTTGAATGCTTTGGTTTTCAGGCGCCTGAAGGCACGGCACTTGGTGAAAAATGACTACTTTAGAAGCATGTATTTTATCTACCAATTTTCGATGCCTTTACATGTTAAACAATATTTTTCAGAAAACATACACTGAAATACCTTCCCTTGTACGCATTTTGTAGTAAACCATGTCGTCTTTAAATTATATACTCGAAGAAAGAGTATCTTTCAGTTTAAAAAGAGTTTCTGATTATGAAGTGTTTAAGGCCCGCAAGGTCTATTTGAATGACATCGTATCTGTGCATTTACTTATCCTCTTTATAATGTATGTAACATAATGCTCGCCCGTTACAATATTTTATGAGCCTCATTTGTTTTTCTATACATGGAAAGCATGCAGATTGCAGGCTGAAAACCCTAAGCAAAAATGCAAAATTTATTCAGGGATAAATAATTTTTTTTAAACCGAAAGATACCGTTTCTTTGAGTATGAGGTTTAAGAAAAAAATCCTTTCTACCAAATGAGTGCAAGAAAATAATGCCTTTATTGAGGTTTTGAATAAAATATTTTTGAACGCACAAGGACGTCGAAAATCGGTAGAGAAAATACATACTAGGCCAGTGGATATTTTCTGCTGAGTGCGGTTACTTGGGCTACCAAAAAGGAGAACCTTCAAAAGCCAATACCCTAGTGTGTCTGAAATATCATGAAACTGCGTCGTAAGATAGACAATAGTACAGCCTCACCTAAGGAATCCTTCTAATCGGAAACGCATTGCGTACCGCACACTAGCTGATCGTCACAGCATGCAGCAGACTTTTATAAGAGTGGTTTGGTCTCACACCAATAAGGAACCACTTTCAGTCCATAGAAGAACTGAATTATCCCCTCCGATGAGAGTCTTCCAAGTCACGACTCTTGGTGTGCCGTGCTAGACTCAAGAGAGTCAGTGTGATTTTAGTTAAGAGTGCTGACGGACGCCCCAACTCAGTCCACGCAGTCGGCCCAGTTGTGTGCTTGCGTTTGTCTGGAGTGACAGACTGGCTGGTAGGCTGAGAGTCAGGCTGATGTAGCTCCTTCTTAATGTGACCCACGGCACCCCCACGCATGTGAGCTGTACGCCGCTCAACCCCCCTTGCGTGAAATCCTGGGGCTTTTATTTGGGGGGCCAGGTCGTGCGTGTGGCGCGCGCAGACAAGGTGGCTAGATAGGTCAGCCACCGTGCCCATTTCCCACTGCAGTCTGCTGACCGGCTCGGACAGTGTCTGGGCTCTGGGAATAGCAAGAGAGAGAGAGAGTGAGGTCGACGACTCAGCGCATTTTCCTCACCATGAACAATCTAACACGCTTGAAGCCATCACGGTGTGCTAGAAGCCGTGGCTTGGAAGGTTTCCAACTGACGGGATAGCTGGATCCTCGCGATTGGTCTAGTGTAGTGTGTTTGTGTGGAGCGGCCGACTGGTGCTCTAAGAGTCAGGATGCAATGGCTCCTTCCTAGTGTGGCCTTTATGGCGCTCATACGCCGTGGGATCCGAGCCGGCTGTGACGGTCCGCCTAGGTGCAGCTCCGGTCGCACCAGGCTCTTTTGTTGTTGCTTAAAATCCTGGTTGCGTGTTTGTTGTAGACTAGAGGGTGTGGAGTGGTGCGCCAAGGTGCGGACTCGACCGTGCCATCCGCCTGGTCCCTCCCCCGCCTCCGGTCTTCTTGACTTTGTCTGCACACGGGGTCCAGGTGGAGGAGGAGAGAGTGCGGTGCTCGCAGCGAAAGTTTACACTCGCTATAAACTGAATCAAGTATAAGTTGGTGCGCCTGCTTCGTGTTGCTCTGGAGCACACGGCGGACATCGTCAGTCACGAGGGGCGAACTGTCGTGAACGAAGAGTGCGCTGATGTACCCTGAGGATAGATTTCCCAACGCTGCCCTCAAACACTTTTCCCTCTCTCGCATGCACCATTCGACTGGCAGAGCCTGTAAACTAACAGGTGATTGGCTTGGGCACAGTGGCTGACCCGACCTGAGCTGTGTGCTTGCAGTCCGACAAGCTCTTCCATTGAGTTCGTCTGGCCTCCGATTCTGTTTAGTGCGTGTACAGCACGACTCGTAACACTTACCGACGCCTGGCTGCTCGTCGCTACATGACAACAGGTATGAACTGTAGACTCCAGACCCCATCCTACGCCTGAAAGTGATCGCCCAGCGAACGCCACCCTCATATGACCCTGCTTCGACTTCTTCCAGCGTTTTTGACACAGCTCATTTGGCATGCGCCCTTGCTAGATTCAGTCACGGGATGACGGATAAATTTGTGAGATTTTGACACGACAATGATGCCCATTTTTGATCATTCGATGTCCAATGTGGACACATTCCGTTAAAAAGTCGCAATTTTTGCTTGTGTGACTGCATTTATCGGGTAAGAAATGGATATTTCCTTTGGTAGATAGCTCTTTTAGAAGACTGAGTCGTCAATCAACGCGAACAGAATGCCACTTACCAGGAAACTTAACATTTTGGTGAGAAATAGCTAGCTTGGCCTACTTGAATCAGCCTATTTATAATTTCCAATGTGTTCTCGAGAATGCCATAAAGGTGTCAAAGGTCATTTTCACTTGGAGTCTAAATACAGGTGTTGTTTTCAAGAGAATTAGCCACATGACTCCTGGTGCCAGTAAACTCATGGTGTGAGTTTGGTGTAAACTGACATTCTACTCGCTTCCAGTTCGAGCCACATGTTTAGGGATTTGTGGAAATCCACGAACTAGCACTCTGTGCTCTCGGAGAAAAAGTGATCTCCGCTCATTAAGTAGCCGATATGAATTGCCGCGGCATCCTTAAAGACATCTGAGTCCCATGTTATACCAGCTGATTATTCTGACCAATCGGCCAGCGCTTTTGAATTTTGTTACGTGCCCTCTGCTCTCCTGGGGACTAAACAGGCTTCTAGAACAAAAACAGAGCCCAGACATCAGCCCATGTTGACTTGGCAATCACTGTGCCTGTCCACTTCAAGAAGGGAGAAAGAGTGTGGACGCGTTTACATCGAGGAAATTGAGGATTTCTGCAAAATGTTTTTTGACAAAAACAGGCTCTACGGATAAACGGAAAGATTTGCAATATTAAAGGTGTTAAAGTAAACAAGCATGTTGCATGGCTGTTGACGGGGAAATGAGGTCTCGGATGCTGCAGGAAAAATGGTGTCTTTCGGTAAAAGTTTTCACTTTAATATGGATGCCATAGATCCCAGAGCCCTTGCTGGGGTTGCTGTTAGAGTTAAGCCTTAAAGGGGCAGGAAGTAATTCTTCCCCCTACCCCCAGGGATTCGGCGCGAGACCACCTATAATAGGTGGCCCGTGTATCAATGTCCTATCGCAACCCCTAGATTCTGGGCTGCCAGTTATGCTTGTACGGTTTATACAACTTTTTCGGAATTCCATTCAGTCACTTTCTTATGTTTTAGTAAGTGTGTCAGCCAATGGACTCCACAGCGAGCTGCATTGCAGGTGCGCAGGTTCAAGGCGCGAAGAAAACGGACTCACCGCACGCGTTCATTAGACTGTGCGGAGGCAATCACTGCATTCACTCCTGGTATCTACTGGTTGACAAGCTAGAACGGTCAGCTGGTGCTTGGGAGAGGCGTAAGAGTTTAAGGACAACATTGGAGAACCGACCCCACAGAAACCCAGTACATTCCTCACTCTAATGAATCCGACGTGCTTGAATGTGTTGGGGGCTAGACGGTGTGAGTGGGTGGAGTCTGAGCACTGCAATTATCAGGGCAAATCCTAGCGTTGTTAAGAGAAAGACAGAAGGCACCAGAATGAGGGTTTTACTGTGCACAGAACCCGGAGTTGTCCTCTCAGGCGGCAGTGGCTACTGGCGAAGCCAGGGCTGGTGTTGACTGCGTCCAGCCACGCCTGAGAGTCTCTGGGACAGTGGTAGCAGCCACTTTTGTAGGTTCGTGGGTCAAGCTCAAGGGGTGTCCAGTCGGTGTGTGTGTTGCATTTGCCGAGGGGTGCTGTCCCAGTGGCTTATGTTGCGGCTGCAGGGGGGAGGTGCGTTCAAGTGGCCGCATGGGCAGTTGCGGCTGTGCGGACGCTGGGATGCCCGAGCTGTTGATCGTGTGACTTCAGGTCAGCGCGTCTGGAACGCCTCACTGCAAGAGTGGATGACCTTGAGGCAGCGAGGTCTTGAACAATGACGCCAGATCGGTCATGATGGCTGCCGGCTACAAATGTACTACGAGTCGCTAAAAGTTGTGGCGTGGAAGACTGCCAACTAAGAGAATTACTCGGCTTTTTTGAGAAACGACAAGCTGGCCTTAAATGGCTCCTCGTAAATGCGACCTTTATGGCTTGCTCCCTCAAATGACCTCAGAGTCACCGTGCTCGAATCCACCGCTAGCCGTTTGGACGTTGTCCTATCACCTTAGTACGACAGATGTCCGGAGACACAGCGTGGTAGATACTGTTTAAGTCCGTTTCACACTCAAGTCGTGTATGGCACGCGTAGACGCATTGTTTGGCCATGTCATTCACTTCACCCCCCCCCCCCATCGCCTCCGACCCTTCTGACTCTCTATTGCTACCGGACGCAGGCGAGTGAGAGAGGACGACGGATACTGCGTAATTCTGCTAACCATAAACTGATTCGGTCGAAAATCGCCGTCCTGCATCCACCTACTCTGGGGCACGCATATGACGGTCGAACTGGCGTAAGTACAGTAGGTGGGCTCACGCATAAAATGTCAGCTGAAATTTAGAGATGTGCTTCCGTTTCGAAAAGATTAATTAAGTAGGGTTGTAAAACTAATCATCGTGCAACGTAATTCTATAGTAATTCAGTTGCCTCAGGGTGTAGGCTTTCGGACGAACTTCTTTTCGACTGCATGCAAGAGCTATGCTCTGCAAAAAATGACCACTTAGGTAGCATGCAGTTTTTTCATTGATTTTCTATGTCCTTTAGAATTCCGTTATATTTCATTGAAAACATGCATAAAAATATTCATTCTTTTACTCACTCGGTAAAAAAGGTGCCTTTTTCCAATTTTATACGCGAGAGAAGACTATAATTCGATTTCAAAAAAGTTTCTAACCGTACGATTTTTAATACCATGAAATGGCCATTCATAAAACGCCTTGTATCTGTATTTACTAATGTGGCTTGTAAAGTTTATAATATGGCTCAAAACCATTGCTAAATTTTGTGAACCCCACATATTTTGCTTTTAATACCGTAGAAAAATGTATGGTTTTCCATACGCAGAATATATACGGATCTTAGTTTTGAAGTCCTAAACGCAAGTGTAACGGCAGGTTGGGTTCAAACTTAGTAGGTAAATGGAAAAGTTTTTGAAAACCGAATTATACACCATCTTAAAGTATGAAATTAGAAGAAGACGTAGTGTTCGACCGAAAGAATGAAAACACTAGTTTCTTATGCATTTTTTCATGAAATATACTTGAATTTTTAAGGGCATCGAAAATCAATGAAAAAACTGCATACTACCTAAGTGGTCATTTTTTGCAGAGTATAGTTCTTACATGCAGTCGGAGAGAAGTTCATTCGAGAGCCGGCACCCTGAGGTAACTGGATTACTATAGAATTACGCTGCTGGATGACTAGGTTTACAACTCTAGTTAATTTATCCTTTTGAAACGAAAATGATTTTCGAAATTCCGGCTGTCATTTCATGAGTTAGCCCACCTACTGTAAATACCCGATCTGCATCGACAGAGAATGTCAAATGGTAGGCCGCACACTCAAAGCGTCTCTTTGATGAGGTGTTTATGGTTCCTTTGTTACATTTCGTCTGTGCATCACCTGCCGGCGTTCCTATTTCCCCTCCCCCTTTAATTTTGATAAGGGTTGCAACTGGTTGGATAGGAGCAAAATGAGCCAGAAACGGTGTTGAAGTTCCCACTGTGAACATGGCTCAATTATAGTCTTACATCTTGATCTGTAGAACTGACTGGAGGAGTCATATCTCGCCAATAGCCTATTACGAACCTACTTTTGCATGCCCACATGAACTGGTACGATCCCTGCACCATCGTTTTGGCACTTTGATGGCTGTTTGCCCGACAGTGAACAGGGCGCATTTATGTCATCGACTCTATTCACCCCAAAGCTCGCTTCCCTCGCCTAACTCTTTTAAATGCGAAGGGGAATGGGTAACCTGATGTTGTTCTGCGGACTAAGCAGAATTTGGATACTAGGGGACATTCGGGGTTTGTAATACATGTGGCTCCACAGACCTCAACTTGGAGTTTTATTTCGCTAGTTGTCGGCCAATGTCGCAGTCTGCTACTGAGCCTTACAGCAAGTCGTTCAACGATCGGTCACTTGTGAAAACTCACATTTCTTGGCATAGAATCTAAGGTAAAAACTTTCATATGATCGCACCAGGGCGTGGGGATAATTTAAAAAGGGTGCAACCGTGATCTAGAATAGATCGGAGCACGTAAAAAAGCTAAGGAGCTAATAAACGACGAACAGCCCTGCAAAGTCATTAACTCTGACCCCATGAAATCGCTGGTATGCACAGTCAATAAGAATTTGAGTCTGATGAAGAGGAAAAAAATGTGATATCCGAAAATGATTCGAGACAAGTGAAACCACTAGGTGCTGCACTAACACGGTTCTACGGCTTGCCAAAAAATCCACAAACTGAATGCCCCCCCCCCTACGACCGATCGTAGCGCTGAAAGGCACATCGGCCTATAGACTGGCTAAATAGCTTACAAAGAGGCTGGCGAAAGGCTCCGAGCATACAGCTGCACTCTCCACGCACTTTCTGGTAAAAGTCCGAAGCGTGGCAATAGCCCCCGATGGTATCCTTCGACGTCGTCTTTTTTTTCACCTCCATCCCCAAGGAATTGGCCTACTGAAACGAAAGTATGACGATGAGGAAAAACCTTTTAAAAGGAAGCACGCAACTGAGCCACTGGACTACTGCTTTTGCACGTAGTTCACGTTTAACGGCCACACTTATGAGCAAATCCAGGAAACCCCGATTGGATCCCCGACCTCGGGCGAGGCGGTTCTGCAGGAACAGGAAACTCGTGTATTTCAGTCCTACAGTAGATGTGCTAACTCATGAAATGTCAACCAAAATTTCGAAATGCGACCTCGTTTCGAAAAGATAAATTAAGTAGTGTTGTAAAACTGATCATGATGCAGCATAAATCTATAATGATCCATTTACCTCAGGGTGTCGGCTTTCGAAAGAACTTATTTTTGGCTGCACGCAAGATCCATACTCTGCAAAAAATGACTACTTACGTAGCATACAATTTTCTCATTGATTTTCGATGCCTTTGAAAATTCAATTATATTTCAGGGAAAAATGCATAAAAATATTCATTCTTTTGCTTATTCGCTAGCACATCACGTCTTCTTCTAATTCCATACCCAAAAGTGGGGTATAATTCGGTTTGAAAAAAGTTTCTAATTGTGAGATTTTTTAATACCGTTAAATGGCCGTTCATAAAACGTCATGTATCTGCATTTACGAATGTGGCTTGTTAAGTTAACAATATTGCTCAAATCCACTGCTTAATTTTATGAACCTCATATAGTCTCCTCTTTACACCGTAGAGAAATGCATGGTTTTCCGTACACGGAAAATATACGGCTTATAGTTTTGAAACCCTGAATGCAAGTGTAACAGCAGGTCGGGGTCAAAATTATTCTGGAATTAGAAAAGTTTTTTAAAACCGAATGATACTCTTCTTTTGAGTATGAAATTGGAAGAAGACATGATTTTCTACCGAATAAGTAAAAGAATGAATATTTTTATGCATGTTTTCGATGAAATATAATTGAATTTTCAAGGGTATCGAAAATCAATGAGAAAATTGCACATTAATTAAGTTGTCATTTTTTGCAGAGTATATATCTTGCATGCAGCCAAAAATAAATCCTTTCGAAAGCCGACACCCTGAGGTAACTGGATCATTATAGATTTATGTTTCATCATGATTAGTTTTACAACACTTCTTAATTTATCTTTTCGAAACGAGAACGCATTTCAAAATTTTGGTTGAAAATTCATGAGTTAGCACATCTACTGTATAAATCAACATGTTTGATGTGCTTTGTAGACGATACCTTTGTCATCCTACTCCGAGATGCGAAGGGGGCCTTTAAAAGAGAATCAAACTCCAAATTCCCACAAATTAATTCCACAATGGAAGAAGAAAATTACGGAACGCTCTCTCTCTCCTCGACAAGCGGGTATCAAGGCAAGAAGATGGAACCCTCCAGACCGGCGTTTTCCAAAAAAGGTACAACACGGAGAAAATACTCCGCTACAACAGCAACCCCCTCCTATCGCATAAACGCATTTGCGTCCGGACACTCTTCCGTCGCATCAACACGCACTGCAGCACAGAAGCCCAGAAGCTACGAGAGTTTTCGTCCCTATGGCACCCCTTCCTTATCAGGGGATACCCACGTAGCTTCATAAATAAGGGCTTGTTACAAAGGTACACACAAAGACTGACAGTGAGCAGAACCAAAAACCTGAAGTCTTCCGTGTCTTGCCCTACATGTGGAACGTCTGTGAGGTCACAGATCGTGTGCTAAAACCACTCAATGCGGACGTTGGACATCGGGTTGAAGCCAATATCCGCTGCGTAATCATGCAGCCTAAGGGTAGGTTATCCCCTGAGGACACGTCAGGCGTCATCTACTGTGTCAGCTGTCTAGACTTTCAGGCCCACTACTGCTGCATGACCAGAAAACGACTAAGAACGCGCACGCCTGAGCACACTTTAGCCGAAACGCGAAAAGGTGTGCTCCCACGTCGCCATACACAGTCTGGAAAATAACCACTAGTTTGACTTTGACGGTGCCCAAGTGCACGGCCGAGCAGAATGCAGACTGTCGACAGAAAGGATTAGGGCTTGGTAAACAGACATCGGCTAGATCGCAGTTGGTAGCCAGGAATGGGGAAGCGGACGGTGGCCTTCACCCCAATCCTAACCTTAACCTTAACTGTTAACCGTTAACCCTAACGGCAACTTTAACCCTAACCGAAATCGTAAACGTAACCGTAGTCTTAACTGTTAAACCTAACCGTAATACTGAAACCTAACTATAAACTCAAACTCTTACCGTAACCCGAAAACCTAAACCTAAAGGTATAACCCTAATCCGAAAATCGGAAACCATTAACCGGTACCTTATTCTTAACCTAAAACGTAAAAAGGAAGCCAAGTGGGTCAGATGTGATTATGTAGCCCCACAAAAAACCCCAGCAAACAAACCCCAGCCGCCTGTAATACGGCGCCTGGCTACCAACAGCGATCCAGCTCAGACGTCAGCTCCACCAACCGCAGCGTCGACCTGCCGGTGCATATGAGGCCGCCAGACACCACTTACGCTCGAGGGGAGGCCCAATAGAGATAGATAATGATGGCCCTATCAGGGATGAGCACGAAAGTACTATTTAAACCGTGTATTGCCCATCTCCGATTATGAGCTCGAGTACGAGGGCGAAGCGTCAGATGAATAAATCATAATTCAATACCATAATCATACCATATTCTTCCACCTCAACCCCCGGGGTCAGCCTTTTCACCTATATCTGCATACATGTAGGTATACCAAAGGCATTATACCGTACTCCCGACATAGGTACTAACTAAAAGCCCAGACATGTGTTTCGCTGATATTCTGCTGCTGCGTGACACAGCTGCGAGGAGTTCGGCTCCTCAGTGGGTCCGCCAGCGTTCTCTAGTGGTTTCCGGTAATCTGAACTCCAGAGAATAATCAGGTGAATAATTTCATAAATTAATCAGTGCAGGACTTGGAGCTAAATCTGCGGGACAAATCGGGATTATTCCACACTATTTGATTGTTTTCGGCTCAAGTGTTCATTGAAACTTCGGGTCTGCCCTGAAAAATCATGCCCAAAAGACCTAACTCCATGCCCTGCACTAAATACGTTTTGAAATCCTTCGTTCTATCATTCTCTGGAGATCACATGCCAGAAACCGCACAGGGAACGCTGGTGAACCCACTGTGAGGCCGAACCCCTCTCAGCGGCGTCACGCAGACGCAGAATATCTGCGAAATACATGTCTGGGCTTTTAGCTAGCTCCTATGTCGGGGATACGGTATAATACCTTTGTAATATGGATTTCATACTACTTGTAGTACTACTTGTTTGTTGAGCAGAAAATTCCTGGATATTCCACAGTAGTTAACTGTCTTTGACTCGAATGATCACTGAACTTTCGAGTTTGACCCTAAAACGTCCTGTCACGGAGACTTAACTTCATGTTCTGCCTTGCGTAATTTCTGAAATTATTTGCTCGAAGACGGTATATTCTTTAAGAAAAGTAGAAACCTTATTAGTACATCTTAGACAACGTTTCCCCTGGTCGTCGTCAGACCAAAGTAAATATACAAAGTAGTTAACATTTCAAATGTGCCCAAGAATTTAATACCTCTCCGGCGTTTCTTCCAGTAAGTGTTCGCCAAACGCGTTACTGCGTATTGATTGGTTTTCGCATCTTTCACTTTTCCTTGCGATATTTGTAGGTGTCGTCTGAGTCAATATGCCGATTAATGAACGACTCGTCCAAGTGCATGGCTTCAAGCAATTCTTGGTATTTTCTAGTAGGGACAAGACTCGCATCGTCGACATCTGCCTTACCAAAAATGACCGAGATTTTCTTGAATCCCTGTACTCAGATACGTCATGCAATAAGAGACATATTAAGTTAAACGTTAGAACAAAAAATTGGAGTAAAAGTGGAAGAGACTGGAACCAATCGATATGCATTAATGCAGTTGGCGGACGCTTTATGGCAGAAACGCCGAAGAGGCGTTGGTTCTTTGGCACTTTTTAAATGGTGACTATTCTTATATATCTGCTCTAGTCGGATAACGACCCGGGAAGCCGACTACAAAGATTTACTAATAAAAATCTTTTTTTCCAGTGAACCTACTACCATCAAAATATATTTTCCAAGACGCCTGACTTTCAATATATACGCATAGAAGGATATATATGTATATGTAATGCTACGTATATGTGTATATACATATATTGCACTCAGATGAGGCATGCATCAATCGGCATATCGATTTAGATGCCACATACAAATTTCTCAAGGACAAATGGAAGCGAGCGCAGCCAATGCCGAAGGGATGACGAAATCGTTGACGCGCATTGGCGCAGACTTCGGCCAACCATAGAATCACTTGTTTGACACGGTTAAATAGTTAACTGTTTTTGTACATTGCCCAAAAGTCTGACGACGAGCTGGGGAACCAGACTCGAAAATTCACTCATTAAATTTTATTCCCTTCCCAAAGAATCTTACTTATTTTCAATTAAATTTCTTGGGATGCCCGTTTTCCAGCACATATAAATATATATATATTGTAGTTTAGACAGTGAATACTGTTTTAAGTAAATGTCCGTCGCTAGATCTCTAACGTCCGCCCACTATTTGCTCTGGAAATTATACTGATTGCACAAAAAGACAAGTTATTTTAAACCGCATGTAACAAAAGTGACCAGAGGGGGCAGGCTTTGTTCCATTAAATGTCAGCTATTCCGAATCGTTCAGCTGAGAGTGATTGGCTTTTGTATGTGATATTTATAGAGACGGACCTATTAATACGCGTCCAAATTGGAGGAATATGCACGAAAGCCAATGTCCATTTAATGCCAACACTTTGTCTTTGAGCACTTAAAAGATAAAATGTTAGAAACACGCAAATACAAACACATGAGCGGCAAAAATTCAAAAACCTTTTTGCTCTAGTAGTTAGCTATTTTTCAAAAACGGCCCGAAGTAGCCAAAAGATAAAATTTGATTTGCTTTGAAATTGCAGTTGTGATTTTGAAAACTGATTCCATTGTAAAAAAAGTATATCTCAAACAGTGCATTAGTTCGTAGAAAAGCATATGTAGTGGAGGGAAAGTGGACGTTCAGCCTTAGCGAGGTGGCGGGTAGTTTGGATCTTTGACTTCAACAAACTAGGAATCGGCTAGAGCTAATGTGAAATTAAAGGAAAAATCCAATCACAAGCCAGCTGGCACGCCTAAATTTGTGATTTTCTGTGCCAGCACTGTAAAAGGAGTTATTTTACGCTAATGGAAAATGCGGTGAAGATACAACTTTTGAGCCTTATTGAGGTTTTAATCGATTTGGCTTACAGGCGGACGGTCACTAAGCGAATACGTGGGGAATTTAGAAAAAATAAACCGTTTTCATAAGATCTGTTAGGCGAAAATTAAACTGCAGTATAAAAGCTGAAATTGAAGTTATGATATTTTTAAATTTTGAATATCTGAAGGCTTTTTGTCTTGTTAATGAATGCAAGCCCACCCTAAGCACAGGAACTATAGCTTCGTTTTCCGTATTTTCGGACAAAAACCCTTCAAAACGAAAGAAGGATAATAAGTCTAAAAACCGAAAATAATCATGAAAACGTTTACTGAGACATCTAGGAATATCCACATCTCCAAGGGAGTGAGTTGTGATACGGAGGCCTAAGCGCGCCACATAAGTAGTTGAAAAAATGCACCACGTTGACATATATATATCGGTAAATAGCCAACACAAATGAATCAGTTCACATTTTGAAATAAAATGCAGTTAAAGATGTATTAAGCAGTTAGGTCCTTACGCAAGCATTTGTGATGAAGCTGATAAAAATCTGAATCGGGCAAGTTGTGTAACTGATCGGTAAGAATCTCACATGCTGAGCGGGTGCACTTAAACTTGTCAATTACACGCAGACCTTGCTGTTAAAATGCGTGGGCGGCCCGATAAGGAACCTCCAAGTGGGTTATGGAGTCGATTTGACTGTTTTAGTCTGTTCTGAAGCAATCGTTAGACGGTGGAGCAATGATAATTGCAGTTAATACCCCTGCGTTTAACGAAGTGGTCGGAATCTTCAGATGCATAGACCGACCAGGATAGGCTGTTTCGGCAGTGCGGAAAACTTTGGAGTGTATTACAGCAATCAACCTCCCTCTGTTAAAGATCGACGTGAGTGTGGGACCTCTTAAAATGAAGTGCCTGGATCAGCGCGTAACAGTATTTATAAGTACAACGATGCAAGTAGCTATAAGGGGACGGGGCGAATTACAAAATGAGGGTATCCAGAAATAGGCTGCGTCTACAAGGAATAAACCTGAGAGCCAATCAGTTTCGAATTTTCCCTCTATAAAGAGGTTATAAGTTTTCAAAATTTCCTTATAGTTATTTCGATTTATCGAATAAGCTGAGTTGACTGTCCACACGAACAGTTGATGTCTTTTTGGCTTTCGGGAGATAACTGACACAACTCAGATGATTTCGGACCTTGTGTATGGAAGGGAGGAGGCCTAGAGTGAGTAACCGATCTCATGAAATACTGGCTGAGATTCTGAAATGCGTTTTTGATCAGGAAGGATTACTTAGCCGCGGCTGTAACACTGATTGTCTTGCGGCATAATTTCATAATATTTTAGACTTGGCAGTATGTCAGCTTTTGAATACACTGCTTTCGAACTCCTGTAGAAACCGAACTTCGCCAAAATTGACTACTTAAGTAACATATATATTTCACATTGTTTTCGATGGTCTTGCAAATTCAACTATGTTTTATAGAAACCACGAAACAAATATGCTTCCTTTCGTTTAATAGAGAATTATGTAATTTGTAATTATGCATAATTTATAATTGGAGAAGTAGTATAATAAGGTTTCAACAAACTTTCTGATTATGAGATTTTTTAAGACCGTGCGTCCCACAGGCCGCGGGAAGTGCTTTCCAAGGTCGAACGTGATGCGCTCAGAGAATCCAAGGCCGACAAAAACCTGGTCATCGAGACAGCGGACAAGGGGCGCTCCACGGTTGTACTGGACAGGACAGACTACCTTCAAAAAGCCAACGGTTTACTGGAGGACCGACAGATCTAGGTCCCATGTGCAACGAACCCCGTAAAAGCGCTGACACGCGAAATTAATGATACGTTGCTGACCTTGGAGAACTCAGATGCAATAACACTGACCGACAGACGCATGGCGAGACCCAAAGATACGGCTTTGGCCAGATTCTATGGCCTCCCTAAAGTGCACAAAGACGGTGCTCCTCTCCGACTCATCGTGTCGCTCAAAGCGACTCCAACGTACGGACTGGCTAAGTGGCTGTTCCGGCGTCTCAAGTTCCCGACCGCTGAATCAGACACCACTGTCTCTTCGTCAGCACAATTCCTGGAGAAACTCAAAGGAATAAGCCTCCATCCAAATGAGGTCATGTTATCTTTTAATGTTACATCCCTTTTTACTTATATTCCCTAGGGACTGGCGATCGAGACAGTCGAACTACTTTTAAAAAGCAAATACGATGAAACGGCGAATCGTCTTGGACACGTCCAAGTCCTTCAGCTCCTGAAGTTTAGTCTCAGGACATACTTCACTTTTGATAGGACAATCTACGAACAGGTGAAGAGCACACTAATGGGTTCGCCGATTTCGGGATTCATCGCCGAGGCGGTCCATCAACGGTTAGAGTCGCTGGTCTTCCAACACCACAAACCGAAGTTCTGGGCCCGGTATGTGGATGACACCTTCGTCGTCATCGAACGGGATCAGGTGTTGACATTCCAAGAACATCTCAACGCCGTCTTCCCGGACATACAATTTACGATGGAGGAGGAAGAGAACAACCAGCTAGCCTTCCTGGATGTCCTCGTATGCCGCAAACATTGTAATGGACTAAAGACCAGAGTGCTCAGAAAAGCGACAAATACGATGCAAGTACTGAACTTCAACAGCAACCACCCAATCAGCAACAAACGCAGCTGTAGAGTCATTTGGGCAAACACGTGTTTTCGGTAACTCGTCATCAGGCAAAAAAGGTTACATAGAAGTTGAAATTATGCGAAGTTACAGGATCTTTAAGTGATTTAGGGGCTATTGACAATCATCGTTCCCACGCTACTCACATGACGAGGCGTGCTATGGCGTGATCGGCGTGTCGTGGTCATCGGGTCAAGGGGACGAGGGGGAGGGGGGACATAGGCTATGAGTAATGTTTGTACGTCGGGTACGTTGTGCGCACACCACTGCCATCAGAAGTTTGGGGCGACGATGGGGTCGGCGTTGGCCACGGAAGACAGAGCACCTGTGTCAGAGTCTTCTGACAGCATAGCACTGAATCGACTAGTCGTACAGCCACTGCCTCGGATGTAGCTAGCACCCTTTGGCGTAAGCCTCTGGAGAAGCTTTCCGGTGTCCGGTAGACAACCGCAGTTGTGTAAGAACGCTCTATCGGCGTGTCGAAACGCACTGCAGTGAGCCGGAAGACAAAATTGCCGAACTACAATACCTCCGACGGGTCTTCAAAGCCAATGGCTACCCGCGCAACTTCGTCGACCGGTGCATACGCAAAACGGACGAAAGGCCTAACCGCACGGACACCAAGTCTTGGCGGGCACTTCCGTATGTCAAGAACGTTTCGGAAGCTGTTGGTCGCCTTCTCGCACCACTCGGGATTAGAGTTGCACACAGACCGGAGGCAACCATCAGGCGTCATTTAATAAAACCGAAAGACCCACTAACAAGGCTAGAAACGTCTGGAGTCGTTGATTGGATCTGGTGCAGTTGCGGGCAAAGCGACTACGTCGGAGAAACCGGAAGACAACTCCAAGCGCGAATGGCTGAACAGGCTGCAGAGATGCGGATAAATAACGCTAGTTCTCAAGTTGCGGCTCATTCGACGAGATCCGGCCACACATTTTTGCAAAATGCCCAGCATGTATGCTGGTCACAATGATACCAGAAGTGCAGATTGCCAGTCCGGAGTAGGTTGCATTTACTGCACTTAACTCAATCGTCCAAATGGCTGCGTAATAGACCTCCCTCGCACGTTGCATGCATATATATATATCATCCATTTTGTTATTGACTAGCTTTCCCTTGTTGAGCAGAAGTCAACTTTGCTTCCTCTGTACACATTATGTATGTTGCCGTTAAATGAGTACAACTCCGCCTCCAACGAAATGCCAGTCAGACACGGTGGACCAAAATGAGGAGCAACATTGTCTATTGGCGCATGCACTAATCGAATCACAATGAGTCTGTGGGCAACCTAAATTACCGCTGTGCGTGCATGCGACATGCTGCGAGCGGCGGCATTTGTCATAAACAATGCAAACACTGAGACTTGACGAAATATATGTGCGCTAGAATTGGAAAGCTTTTATCAAGGCAGTGGGGCTTTGGACATTTACTTTGATGTAGATTAAAATTTACGCCATGTTGGTAGGCTCTCCCAAGCATAGTCGCCTAAGAAATCAGACGTCCACAACAACGGTCTACGACGAATGTGATCTTAATCGCTTCAAAAAGCATCCTTAATAAGCCATCTCGTTAAAAGGCGCCCTACTAGGTTAGTTTGCTAGTGAACGTCCAAATCCTCCATCGTCCTATGCAGGGAATAAACACTCCAAATATGTTTTAAATTTTAAAATTCCTTACGTGACCCTGGTACGTTTTCTGCCGCGAATGACAAACCTACATATGAAAACAAGACAGGCCGTGGACTGACTGAGGCCTGAGCTTTGGATGCGAACTCAGTCAATCGATTTGTCGTCTCCACTATTGCGCCATCGATCGGTAATTGACTAACACGTCCCACAATTTTTGCAGGTTCTGTTGCTTTCACTAATTCTAGCAATAGACCCCCGCACATGTTCAAAATCTCAGAACAATAAAAAGAATGTTCCAGTGGCTGATCACCCTTCTTCTACTTCTTAACTTAGACCAACGTATATTTTCTCGTTATACTGGAAGCACTTTCATCCTATTTGTCTATTCTGGAATCTGTCCTAAAAAATTAAATGCAGTTCGAACTGCGCATGAATAGTGGAATGCCGCATCAGATTTTTAAAAACGTCTCTAGACATATTTTCAAGAAAAAATAGATTGGAAATTCTGCCCGCTCGAATGGTCAAAACGCCGGCATGTCAGAACAGGCCAAATTAAAAAATAGGTGCCTCAAAGATTTTTGATGAAGGCACAAAACATGGAATTCAGGTATCTGAGAGCAGGAAACGGGCTATGGCGTGTTTAATAATAACATGTAAAGGAGGCCTTATGCATAAGCTTTCAAAAGCTGGTCTTTAAAGGACTGTAATTTAAGTTAAAACGCTAGAGATCAAGAGGGGCTTCAACATTCATTTTGGGATGGCGAAACAGACAGGTAAAAGATAAGGACTGGAATGCATTGCAATCTACAAAAGTACGGACAACATTTCGCGTAAGTAATGAACCTGAGGCTGTGTGATGGAAGACTGCTCACTGCATTTTAAAATAAGCCTAGCTTAAAATTAGCACACTATGCCAGCAAAGGGAAGTTCCTAGCAACTATCTGGTGAACCTACTGGAATCAGTGTGTGTTGTATACCGGCAACCTTGATTGTGGTAAAAAAAATTCGTGGAAATGTTCTTCCGATCTGCAATGCGTGTCTGGCATAGGACAATCTACCAACTCAGGATACTCCTAAAGCTTCCTAATAGTAACTAATTTTCTATATTTTTCCTATCCTGCGTAAAGATGCAGTCGAATAGTCCTTCATTGTTTAGTCAACATAGAATGAATTATGGTAGAGGAATGCTCACTGATCGTTCGTACAGAACTCACTCGTTCTGTTGTACCTTACGGGTTCTCCCTCGGACCCAACCAGCAGCCGCACAGCGGCGCATGATATAGGCAGAATGGCATTATCAACAAAGACAAAGGTGACTGGAATAGCCATTTCTGGATCATTAGCCGTCGTCAGCCAGTCATACCCAACACCGAAGTGTGGATTACCTGCAGCTCGATTCCGCTACCTTGAATAGTATCTACTCCAAGCCATTAACTCGAATTTAATCGGGATTACTGAAGTGGTTGATGAGACTTAAAGCCATAAGCCAATGCATGCCACGTTTCTCAGTGATAAGCACTTAATCATAACACAACCCGACGTAGGCCTGCTGCACTGACGAGGAAGAATGACGTCCTAACGAGACTCAAGAGCAGTCAAGCTCTGCGGCTCTAAATGAGGTCAATATGTGATTCACCCTGTGAATGCACACAGTAGGCAGAAGTGGTGTGACTTTAATCTCCTCAAGTTCCAACACTATAAGACAGTTGAGAGTGCTGAAACGCCAACTGATCGTCCCCTGCCCCGGAAAACACGGCTCCTGAGGTGGCTATTCGGATGCTGAAGGTAGGTGGAAATCCAACCAACACAATTAGAAAAACGCTAAATACACAGCAATTATTACATGTCGGAAGAACATTTATATTATTTCTGAATAAGTATGAGTCACCGGCCCTTGCCCTTCGGTTGCGTTTATTGGTCGCCGTATTTTCACTATTAGCTATGTAGTTTAGTAATGCCGATTCCAGTTCCGTCCCCCACTTCTTCGAGTATATGTCTAATGTATGAGGTAGTACTGTTATGAAGTAGGCGGGGGCAAACTCTGCGCAGATGTAAAACTCACAGAGGATAACTGATTAAATAACTCACAGAAAGCTTACTGCTGACCTGTAGTCTTTGCAAATGCCTTACCTCTACAGAGGCGAAAGTGATTTCTGGGACAAAAATAGGACCTATACCATTGTTTAATGGATTTAGATAAAAAACTAGGTATCATTTTTCCTGCTTAGCAAGGTTCTCTCATCAAGTCAGCAACAGAATCGCTCGTTGTATTTAAATGTCAAATGGAGTAAATTACACCCCACCACTGACGAGTAGTTAAGTACATTCGTCCTTGCCTTTGTACAGTAGGTTATAAGCAATTTTCACTGACCGCACACGATGAAAAGCACAGCTATGCAAGGACACATAATTCACACAAATATTCCTTATTTAACTCAATTGGTAGAAAATTGCTTTTCCCTAAAATGTAAGCCTAATGGAAGAGTACAATTCGGACTTTACCAAAAGTCCTTAATTATGAGAGTTTTAAGACCGTGAAAGGTCCATTCATAAAACATCGTACATTTACATTTATTAATGTTATCCGTAAGGTTATGATATGATTCAAGTCGACCGAAAAATGCTATGAACTTTATCTGAATTTTTTCAACTAGGTATGGAGATTTATTATTCTTTCGCGTACGGAAAACGTACAGCTTGTATTTTGAAAAACTTAAATACAAGTGTAACGGCAAGTCAGGTTCAAAATTACTTGGAGACAAACAAATTCTGGATGCCAAATTATATTCTTTTTAAGAATCATCTTTGACGGCGACGAAAGTTGCTACCGAATGAGCAAAAGAACGAATACTTTTATGGTTATTTTATATGGAATATGCTTGAATTTACGACGCATTAAGAATCAATGGGAAAAATATCTTTTGCTTAAGTTGTCATTTTAATACAGTGTAGGCTTTGCAAGCGGCCGAAAAGAAACTCCTCCCAAAATCAGCCTTCTAACGCGACTAAAATGTCGTGGCATGCTGGCACACCAGCGTTAGTTATGCAACCCTGTTTAAGTAATCTTTTCGAGTCGAAGATGCTTTTTAGAATTTCGGTGAATACTTCATGAATTAGCATATCCACTGTTTGTTCGGTCATCATGATTTCGCAATAACCACCAAACAAGTCTACACAGAAGTTTTATTTGGAGGAAAATCACTGTCTGAAGAATAAAGTACATTTTAAAATTGTTATTTTGGGTTGCAAGCGACTATAGAGTACGACTTTTGAGACATTCGCTAGCATCTAATTTCGCGACTTGTTAGTTTTACTGACTGTCTTCTCAAAAGAACACCCATTCTAAAAAAAAACCTCTCAGAACTGCCTACCGACTA